CAGACGTGCAGCAAAACTTGTAACTGGACAGGGTGCATTATCCTTTGAAAAACGTATGTCTAATCCTGACCAATTTCCTTAAAGTTACCGGCTGGGGTGTTTTAAGTGTACCAAAATGTGACAGGAAATCGGCTCCGATAGTTGATGATTAGATGTCAGCCTGAATAAAAACCCGTTGAAACCTTGGCCGAAGTCCCACAATGACGGTCAGGGGCCGTTCTCTATACGTTTTTATAATCTCGCTATCGGCAGCCTGCAGTAAGAACAGTGAAAGCGAGAGTTGGTGACGCCTAGGACGCAGATAATCTAACTTCAGCACCAGTATCGACGAAGAAACGAAACGTGGTAGGTTTGAAAGTTAGACAGAACGCGCGACTCTGTTGCGACTGTCCAGCAGTAGTCATTGCCATTACTGCTTGACCTTGCGGTTTGACGGTTGTTGCGATTGTTGGAAGGTAAACGGTGGAATGCGCATCTGTAATACCGGACCGTAAGCTACGTATGTGTGCATATAGTGAGATTTTGAAGGGGTTCTTGGCCATTTGCTGCCGGTATTCCGTGTCAGACTGCGCCTACGAAAATTGCTCCGCGGGCTTCTCATTAAAAATAACAGCCTACCCAAAAAATTGGATGGTGCGACCAAATTCGTTAGCCGCGGCATGTCAAGCCACACCGATGTCATTTGAACCTTCACGTCTGACAAATACAGCACTATTTGCTGCCGCGCCTGTGTTGCCGTTTTCGACTCTTCAGTTCAGCTGACCCACTTGTGAAAAACTCGTCGCTTCTGTCTACGAGAACTGTTGCGAAGGAATAATCTTGTAAAATTTGCAGCGTTTAATAAGTTTAAGCATTTTCAATGGAGTCTACCTTAGCTTGTGGTGACTCACTTCACATAGGCGATCATGTCCGAAAGCCCACCGCTGCTAACGCGTACGTCTGCACTTAAAGGCGCCCTCTGCAACAGCCAATCAGGTCCCTCAAGGGCTAGCCTCTCTCGGCGGCAAATAGGACGCATGCACGCCTTGGTCGATGCAGTCTTTCCGACCAATAACCTTTGAGGCAACCAGACAATGCCCGTTCTCGCTGCTGCCTGCTGCTGAAAACCGCACTTGGACTGCGGCTGGCTCTTCTGCCGGTTGTAGGCTATCCAT